GTAGATGGCAAGTCTCCCAAGATGCGGAGACGTTGGTTGTGCACAACGGGCGGTAGGGGGACTAACAGCCGTTCGAGATTCTAGTCAGCCCGACCCCCCCTTGGGGGCGCACGCCCCCCGCGGCGTGTCTATCTGCACACACATGTAGTAAATGATAAAAAGGGTTTAGAAAAGGGAATCCGGCCGCTGCGCCCAAATAACCGTTTATGTTGATGGTGGCGGTAAATTTGCTTTCGTTCACCCCCAGGCCCCCCGCCCTCTCCATCTCGAGATACAAAAAAAAACTATAAATTAAAATACGAGCCCCCCCCCCACCCCCCCCCCTACATCCACCGAACAATCATTCGCCATCACGGCTTTGGCAGCTAATGCGTACGCCCACACACGCACATACACCCACTCGTCCACCTACTCCATTCTGCACCACCACATCACGCACCACACCACTCACGCACTTTCCCCTTTATCTCTGGGGGGGGGGGGAGAGGGGTGCTGGTGCTGTTGGCGAGTGACGAGTGGTGGCCAACGACGGGCGGCAGCTGGGGGAGAGGTCAAGCGACGCTAGCAAAGGCGGTATTTGTCGTTTCTGTAAGGCTTGCGAACTTGGATAAGCGACCCCATCTCTATCTCCATCATCGCCATACCCATCCCCATCTCCAGCTCCATCCCCGTACCCATCCCCATACCCATACCCATCCCCATACCCATACCCATACCCATGCCCATACCCATACCCATACCCATACCCCATCCCCATACCCACCATCCTCATCCCCATACCCATCCCCACCATACCCATCCCCATCCCCATACCCACCATCCTCATCCCCATCCCCATCCCCACCATCCCCATCCCCATCCCCACCATCCCCATCCCCACCATCCCCGTCCCCTCCCTCAGATCAGCTCGATCCAATGTGCGCGTGCAGCCCAGCCCCTTGGGGTCCTTGGAGACCAGCACCCGACCCGAACGAGGAGACAGACCATGGGAGCTATGTCTCACCCTCAACACAGATACAACATACGGAAGGTTCGGGGTATGGCAGTGGTGATGGTGGTGGTAGTGGTGGTGGTGGTGGTGGCCATGGCTGGTGTGTGCTGTGCGGCAGCAAGTCCTCAGTCGGAGCAGACGGACCAAGGACAGAGGCCGAACAACGAGCAGAGGACAGAGTCGGCGTATGGTGAAGATGGTCTGGTTTTGGTGGAAGCCGAGTCGGGCAGTGGTAATGATGAAGGAAATTCAGGTCCCATTTCGCATTCAAGGCCCAGAACGACAGCAAGGCCTGCGGCCGATGGACCGCTGATGTCTGAGACCGGGACTGGCGCTGGCCATGAAGGAGGCATGCGGTTGCTGCATCTGTCGGATGTCCACCTCAACGCCTTGTTTGAGGCAAAGTACGGAAGCGGTACCAACTGCATGGCGCCCAAGTACCACACCCCGAATGCTCCGCCGCCGCCAGGCCCGCCGCCACCGCCGGATCACGTGGCGGTCGTTCGGTGCGATACCTCGCCGGCTGTCTTGACCTCAGCGCTGGATGCTGTCAACGCCCTGGACGAGCCCATCGACTTTGTCCTGCTCACTGGTGACCTCTCGGCCCACGGCTACGTGTCGTCGGAACTTGCGCTGGCGGCCATTGCCAATGCCAGTGCTGCCATCGACGCCAAGCTCGGCCAGCACCCGATTGTGCCTACCATCGGCAACGATGATTGCTATCCGGACTACTTTTTGCCGCTCACGCCCAACGCGCCCTGGCTGGCCAAGCTCGCCGAGGTGTGGGCACCATGGCTCGCCCGCTTTGCCGGTGCGCGCGACTCGTTCCTCCATGGCGGCTACTTTGAAGCCGAGCTCGCGCCGAGCCTCCGCGTCCTCTCGCTCAACACCATCTACTACTCGATCTCGCACCTGCCCAGGCCGGCACAGCCGGTGGCTGATCCACTGGGCCAGTTTGCCTGGCTCGAAGCCCGCCTCGCCGCCGCCCGCGCCGCCGGCTCGTACCACATCTACCTCATGGGCCACATCCCGCCTGCCGTCTCCGAGTTTCAAGGCTCGGCCATGTGGGACGCGGCCTACGCCGATCGCTACGTCAAGCTGGTGGCAAGCTACGCAGACGTGGTTGCTGGCCAGTTCTTTGGCCACACCCATCGCGATGAGTTCCGCCTCCTCTTCCGCGAGGAATCGTCCGTCTCGTCGGCCCTCATCGCTGGCTCGCTCTCCATGGTCTTTGTCAACAACCCGTCGTTTAAGGTCGTCGACGTCACCGGCGCTCCCGAGTCGTGGATTCCGACCAACCTCACCGCGTACTACCTTGACGCCACGAATCCGGCAGCACTCGCGCCATGGCGTCCCGAGTACGTCTTCTCCAACGCCTACCCGCCGGCTTCGCCGCACGGACTCTCACCGGCGGGCCTCCTCGCCCTCTATGGCGCCTTTCCGCAGTATCCCGACCTCGTCACCGCCTTTTCAGGTCACCGTTGGGCCGACTACGTAACCGCCGACACCCCGGAAGGCTTTGCCGTCCTCTGCTCGCTTGCCACCGCCAGCATCACCGACTACTCCGAGTGCGTCCGCGACCACAAGCTGCCCATGCCGCATCCGCTTCCTGCAACGAGCGCGTCGTCGGCTGCCGCTCCGCACGGCCGCAAGGACAACCCGCCTGTCGCCGTCGTCGCAGGCATCGTGGCAGGCACCATCATCATTGCCATCGCCGTCGTCGCTTCCGCCTTTTGGGTCCGCTACCGCAGCGGCGCCCGTTCCCACGCCACCCTCGTCGCCGCCCGCCCGCGCTCCGCCCGCCCCTCGTCACGCGCCCTGCTCATCAACGACGCGCCAGCCTATGGCTCGGCAAGCTCGGCAGAGGATGCCCTTTACTCGTCGATTCCGAGCGTGGTGGCGTAGTCGGCACTTGCCAGCATTTTACTGCTAATTTCGTGCAGAACTCACACGCGCGCCTCGTCCGAGTAAAAGCCAGAGCCGGAGTCGACGGCGCCGTCGACACGGGCGAGCTTGCTTCCGCCGCGCGAGTCAGACGAGATCTCGTCGTCAAACTCGTACGTGTACGTCTCGTACGAGACGTACGAGTACGACGGCTCAGCGTTGAGACCCTTTGTAACTCTAGAGGCTGTCGGCGGCTTGCGCGACTTCTTCTTGCGCGAGACCTTAACCTTGCGCGACTTGTGGGTGCCGGGACCCTTGTGCGCGCTCTTGGCGGCGGCAGCTCCGCCGCGGTTAGCCTCGCGGGCGGCGGCCGCGGCGGCTGCCGCGCGCTCCGCCTCGGCCTTCTGGCGGTTGGCGCGGATCTTGTAGACCACAAAACCGATGCCAAAGATAACAAGCAAGGCGACGACGACGAGGATGGCGGCTGCAGTTGTGTTGCGCGAGGTAGACGCCGGCGCGGCGTCGGAGCAAAAGTCGCCGACGATGCCGACGCCGTCCTCACCGACGAGCGCGACATTGATCTCGTACGCCTCCTTGGCGCCCTGCGAGTCGGCGCCCCACGCGGCGACAAACTTGCGCTCACCCGACGCGTACGTCACGGTCGCCTTCTGCACAACATACGACGAGTCGGCGTCGTTGGCGCCAGTGACCGAGAGTCGGCTGCGCGAGCCGGCCTTGGCGCCCTGAGCACCGGTCAGCCGCTGGGCGTACACCTCATTCGCATCGTCCTGGCCCGGCTCGTCACCCTCCCACACCACAAAGTACTCATCCTGGTTGGCGTTGTACGTCAGGTCCGGGTGGACGCCGTCGTAGGTCGGGTCGAACGCCGACTCGCCCATCTGCGAGATGGGGAACGACGGCGGAACCTGGAGGCCGCCGCCGGCGGTCACGATCTGCCCGTAGATGTTGAGCACGCCGTTGGCGCCGACACGGTCGGTGTCGCCGTACCACACCACAAGATAGTTGTTGCCGGTCGGGTTGTACTCGATCTTGGGCCGGAAAGCGCGGAACGAGGTCGACGTCGGGTCGATGCCCATGTCCGAGATCTGGAAGTTCTTGCCGATGCGGAGGCCTGTCGCGCCCTCGACAATCTGTCCATACGCCTCAAACGCATGGTGCGTTGCGTTCTCACCCTGCCACACCACCAAATACTCGTTGTCGACCGAGTTGTACGCCACGTCGGGGTAGAAGCCATTGAACGCCGTGTCAGTATCCACAATGCCCATAAACGAGAGGCGCTGGATGGGCGAAACATCGCCAACAACGCTCACCACCGCGCCCCAGATCTCCACGGCGTGCGAGTTGCCCTCGGCGTCGGCCTCCCACACCACATAATACACGTTGTCGCGCGAGTTGTACACCACATGCGGGTTAGCCGCAAGATACTTGCTATCCGTCGGGTCTGCGCCGGTCTGGGAGATCTGGAACGAGCGCGTGCCGAGGAGTTCGCCGGTCTCCGACACCCGTTGGCCGTAAATCTCAAACGCGTTGTCCTGGCCCTCCTGGTCACCCTGAAAGACAACAAGGTACTCGCGCTCCTTCGTCGAGTACGCCACTGACGGCGTCATTGCATCGTACCGCGTGTCCGTCTCCACTGTGCCCATCTTGGAAATCTGGAAGTCGTTGCCGTACAGCGACTTGCCTGTCTTGGTAGACACAATCTGCCCGTACACCTCAAACGCCGTGTCAATCTTATCCGCAAACCACACAATGAGTGCCTCCGACTTGTCCGGGTTGTACGCCACCTTGGGCCCAAACGCCTGCAGGTTCGAATCCGTTGTCGCACCCGTCGTCGAGACCGGGAACTGCGAGCACCGCGCTCCCGCCGCCACCGCCACCATGCCGGCCATCACCATCAGGCCCAGAGCCATTGCACGCATCGACACCATAGTCGCTCTGTATCTGCTCTGTAACCCGAGATCGACCACCACCACCACCACCACCACCACCACCACCACCACCACCACCGCCACCACCACCACATCATGAGTCTCACACCATCATCCACCATCATCCTGCACAAATCCATGGCCCGCCACCAAAAAGTCGACGCTATCGTCAGCGCTACGGACAGCGCAATCGTCAGCGCGCGTGCGACTACTTGCCCCCCCCCCTTCTATGCCCCGCCACCACCACGGCCCGGCTCCGAGGACACGCCATTGCGCAACCCTCGACAAGGGACCAAGCAGCAAAGATGGAAGTGATAGACATGCGGTTGTGTAGGGGGAGTGGGGGGGAGGAACAGGCTGACATGCGGCCTAGGTAGGAGTGGGGAAGGAGGGCCTGGGGAGGTGCCTGCGTTGGGCGGGTCATTTGGTCATTCGCATGAAAAAAAGACCATCGACAACCGACGATACCGCCCCAGGTGAAGGGGATGGTCGAGGCGGTAGAGAAGGGACAAGTACATGTTGGTGACTTTGAAGGACATGACTATATAGGTAATTGTGTCTTCTATCTTGAGACCAAAAACAACTTGCGTCACTCTCCTAAACATCTCAAAACACCTCGCAGTCGGCCACCCCCCCTCCCCCTCGGCACTTGCTATAGCTCTCGTACCTGATCAGCGCGAGACGAATGCAACGACGTAGGTCATAATCAATGGCACCATTGATTAATCACACTCATCCCCTCCCCATCAATCAATACCCCCATCAATTAATCATACCCTCCCTCCCCCCACTCCTCCCCTCATCAATCAATACCCCCATCAATTAATCATACCCTCCCTCCCCCCCCCACTCCTCCCCTCCCCATCAATCAATACCCCCCATTGATTAATCATA